TGATTATTCCTTGTAAGTTATGACTACAGCCAAAAGGCATGGCAGCAGGAAAGGTAATATATAGGCCCATCTACATCGGCCGATTATCTTTTTAATATTTTGCCAACAGAGCTGTCAGCTCGAGTCCAACCCCCAACTTAGCGGACTTAGAGACTGAACTATATCTGACCTCTATCGTTCGCCCTTTCAGGCATGACATGGTCCGCGATCATTTTGGGCCATTCTGTGTGACTCATTAGGTCACTGACGTACACAAGCAATCACATCATATCACCGTAAAGTTTGTTCGGGAAGGTTATTTCGAGAGGGTCTGCTCTTGGTATAAACAATAAACCATCGGTGAGTGGGCATTTCGACGACCGTTGCCAAATTCTAAAGTGAACACGGGAACAACTGTTATATGATTTATGTTTGACACCCTTCCTATTACGATCCCTTATTATGACGGACATGGTGGACATTGTGAAACAGGCAGAGGTCGGAGTGAGAATCGCGTTTTCAAATCATAAACGATCAGTTAAATAATTGCATGTGATTGTCTTTTTTCTTGATCTGATTGTTTCAGGAGCAGAATAGATTACATGCTAAAGAATATAAATCATTGCTCACCAGATCTGTTCTCAACAAAGGGATTCAGAGCATCTTTCGACGATTTCGAAGCTTTTACGGTTTCTTTACTTGATCCCGTCTTTATGTCAATATGGAGAACTGCATTAAGCCGATCCAATGCATTCACAATTAAGATGAGATTATTTAATGTGGTTATGGAAACCGTGAGGTTGCGTTTAGCTTGATCAAGCTGCTGAATATCCTTTGTGATTTCATGCACCATTTCTTCCGAACGCGTAGCGCGATCCTGAACATCTCGTATTCTGAGGAAGGATTGGTGAAAACGGGGACACCAGATAGCCGGCAGTGAAAAAGATCGAAGCTAAACATGGTATTGAACAAACAAGCCGATGCATTGTACGTCAAGATTCGTGAAGCATATATATTTCCCCATTGTATAGAAGGATAATGGACGGGGAAAAAGTTCATGTCGCTCAAATACGATTTCCGGCAACATTCTACTGCAATTCTAATAACGGATGTTTACAACCCTTGCATTTTGATAGAGAAATTGTTGGTTACACTTCACTCCTCGTTCCTGCCCTTCAGTTCAATTTTTCTCCTATCTCATCGTTGCTCGCCCGTAGTTAATAGACTGTCTATGGATTGCACAGATGAAAGCCAGAGAGCGCGTCTCCAGGTCGCGGGTAGGAGAGCGGTTACCTTGGTGGTTAAACGTGAATAGGTGGGGACTCTCACTGAATTATAGGTCACGGTCGATCATCGGCGACGCTAGAGGACGTGGTGGGGTTTACAGCTGGCAACCGATATCTCTTTTAGAAGCAATAAGTGTCTAGTGACAGCATCGTAATGTGTGCGAATGTAGCCCGCCACCAACTAAGGATATTGCTACTTGCCTACTATTCCGGGTAGGACAAACTTTGAGTATCTCATCTTCATCCTTCTTAGTTCCTTAGTTTTAGTAACGGGTGGTGGTGGCCAAGTGGTGAGGTCACCGAAATGTGACCCGGACATCCCGGGTTTGAACCGCTCCACCACCGCCCATCTTCCCTATTTCTGTATGTCCCCAGGCAGCCTTTGTATGGTCACCACGTCCCCCCCCTTCTCTGAAAGCTGACTGTACATTTTTATATCAATAAATAAAAATGGAAGTAAGACATTTTTTTATTTATTCCATGTTAAGTAGCCTCCGAAAGCCTCAGTATGGTCGGGGTTTATATCTCGGATTGTGACTGGTTACCGTTCCTTTACACCACGCGAAATGCTCCTATATTATCAAGCGTCTCAAACAGCCTCTGCTGAGGAAGCCCTACTTATTGCCTTCCTATGGAGGTGTTTTCTCACCAAAATGAGAAGACGAAAAGTCAACATCCGGGGCTATNCGAAAAGTCAACATCCGGGGCTATAACCGGGTTGGTGAGCCATTGGCAGTTCACCTAAGGGAGTTGGCTAAAAACGCTGATTCCAAACCAACCAAGAAGAGGCGAACGAACCACTCGCACAATTTTCTGGTTGTGGCAGTGGTTTTAGTTCAGTTTCAATTTGTACCACCGTTAACCATGAACTATCGTGCACATGATTTGGTTGCCTATTTGTATGAAAAGTAGAATAGTGGCAGTGGATACCGGCTCAATTGGGCACCTTGAATGTTTGACCCCGTCCAGAGGGCGTATGTGTTATGACTTGTCAAGACGTATGATCGAAACGAGTGCCTCTTGATTAGTCTCCAACAATGATACGGAGACAGATCACAGCTGAAAAAACGACAGTCATTGTATCATTGATCATGACGAAATACGCAAATATATGTAGTAAATTGGGTGTATGAGAAACGATGTGGTGACGCACTAATCGAATCGCGTCACTGGCACACCAGTTGATCGATCGGACGGCAGCTGTCTGATTCGCCTTAGTCATCCAATCCGGAATCGATTCGCCTTTGGGCGTCGCGAACGCACCTGTGGTGTGACGCTGATCGATGTGTGGCCTGACGGGTTCTGTGTGTTCCGTCTTAACAGTATGATCTAACGAACTGGACGCCGGCTCCCAATGGTCTGCGGACTCTGATTTCCGTCCTGTTGTATTGAAGGTCTGGTTTTCTAGCAAAAGGATTCCGGTGGGAACACCGAGGTTATCCTCCTTCCTCGGTCAGGGCAGCCGGGAAGTAACACGCCCACACAAGCTATGAACACATTCTTCAGATTTCTTTTTGTTCATACGTTGTGGCACATTTGCCAGTTCTCCGTAATTGGTTGCGTGTGGAATAATAATAATAATAATAACAATAATAATGACACGTAACTCTTTTTGACCGACTTAATTGACCTATTTTCTATTCCATTACATTTCTACGTCTTTTCTAATCTATTTCTGGATTCATCTATTTAGCATTACCTAACCACTGTTAACTTTCCTTCACGATTAATCGTTGTCTACTACGTGACAGCTTCTACGCTAGCATCCTCTCTTTGTGAATCTTTGTGAGCATTATTCCCTCTCCTTGTCCACTCACCTCCAAATGACTTTGGTAATGACTTAACAACCGATTTCGTTTCGGCTTGGAACCACGTAATTAAGTAAATGTCCATATATGGTATTCTTCTTATAACATTCCAAACTATTTAATGTGCGTAGACAGCTGATTGAGAACACGCAAAATAGATGGCAAATATAAATTCTGCTCATATTATTATTACCATAGTAATTTCCCTCCCCTTTCCTCCCCATCATCTCAGCCGTTCCCTTATATCATCGCTGACACTTCACCCTTATTATTTCCTTATTACGTAACTCTCTTTGATCTACTTAAATGAACATTTCGTTACGCCGTTAACGTTCTACGACCGTTCGAATTCATTTCTGATTGTATCTTTTCTGTATTAGGTAACCGTGTTCAACTCTTTCCTTCACGGCTAGTCCTCTTCCACTGAGTCACTGTCTGTATACCAACATACCCATTTTCCGAATATTTATCATTATCCTCTCCCCCTCTTTCACCCATACCCAAATGACTTTGGTAATGACACAACAACCCAGTTCTGTCTGCCTGAACCCATGTAAATGTCCATATATGGCTTTCTTTTTACACAGTTCGACCTATTTAATTTGCGTAGATAGCTGATGAGAAAAAGCGAAATTGATGACCAATATCAATTCTGCTCATAGTGTTACTTGTTTTATTCAATCAAGTGAATACTTTCGATTTCCTAATTCCCAAACAAAATCAACGAGCTGTGTCCGACATGAATGATACGCATCACTTTCCCTTTAACCGCAACAGGTTATTAGACTAGAACAGTAGATTGTTAGACTGGAGTTTACATCTTCTACGGTATTGCATGCTCATGATGTAAAAAAGGGGATATCCAAAAACAAAGATATGTGATTTACCTCACAAACAATGATTGGATCATTTGCATTGCTTCTTGCACAACTTCCTGTCCCTCATCTTCCGAATGGAATCGACCTCTGACGATATCACGAGTTTCCACATCTAATTCCAATATCTTTTTCTCTGTCTCCGCAATAGCCTCATCAATATTTGCCAGGGACTGCTCCGTAGGAAACATCTATGATAGGTTGACGCTG